TTTTGCTTATAGACTTTTAACTTCATGTTCTGAGTTGGCTTCATCTTTAGAGTTCCATGAAGCGCAGTAGTGTCTCTTTTCAATTTTAGACCAATGTGGAAAATCAGCTTGATAGTTTGGTACATGCCTAAAATCCACCACTTGTAAGATTGAGGCAAGAGGTTTATCAATGGAGGCTACCATGGGATACCTAGAAATTCCCTTCTTTAAATCATACAAATGAAAAAGGGAAATGAGAAAAAAACAATGGAATTAGGTTTTTGAAATCACATTTCTTTACCAAATAGAAATTCATATTTAAAACATGTATATGCTGAAAACTACCTGGAATATCCGTCATTAGCTAAAACTTGCACTAAAATACATGCATTTGAAATTATTTCTTTAATCTTAACAGAGAAATTATTTGATCTTTCTGAAATATACTTCTGGTTCAATGTCTTGGGTAGTATTACCATGAGCTGACCTCTGAATGTTTAGCTATTACTATGGTAAATGTGCTCAAATTAGATGGATGTATTACCAAGAAAATATTAAAATACACAAGTTTGAAAATTGAGAAGCAAAACTATTTAATACTGGAAAATATCTTATTGGAATTGCTTTAGTTATCACATGGGACATCTGATGCTACTAAGGTAGAGTTCAAATTAAAAAACTGACCTGAACCATCTTTTTCTGAGCAGCTACGAAGATCATACAGAATGGAAATCTGGAACTCCACCTTGGGAAATGGCTTCATCTTGGTGGGAATTCTGGATAGCAGCGGGTCTCCTGGACTGCTGTGTGCTGCATTCACAGCCCTGTACTTCTTGGCCCTGGCCAGCAATGGACTGCTGCTCCTGGTCATCACAATGGACACCAGGCTCCACGTGCCCATGTACCTCCTGCTTGGGCAGCTCTCTCTCATGGACCTCCTCCTCACATCAGTTATCACTCCTAAGGCTGTCATGGATTTTCTGTTGAAAGACAATAGCATTTCTTTTGGGGGCTGTGCCCTTCAGATGTTTCTGGAATTAACACTGGGTGGTGCAGAGGATCTCTTTCTGGCCTTCATGGCCTATGACAGGTATGTGGCCATTTGTCATCCTCTGAAATACATGATTTTCATGAGGCCGGGTATTTGTTGGCTCATGGTAGCCACATCATGGACCCTGGGATCCATAAGTGCCCTAGGATATACTGTGTACACAATGCTGTACCCATTCTGCAAATCTCGACAAATTAAACATCTGTTCTGTGAGATCCCTCCCTTGCTGAAGCTGGCCTGTGCAGACACTTCTAGATATGAACTCATGGTTTATGTGATGGGAGTGACCTTCCTTCTTCTCCCTCTTGCTGTCATCTTGGCGTCCTATACACTAATTCTTTTCACTGTGCTCCACATGCCCTCAAATGAGGGGAGGAAGAAAGCCCTTGTCACCTGCTCTTCTCACCTGACTGTGGTTGGGATGTGGTATGGAGCTGCCACATTCATGTATGTTCTACCCAGTTCCTTCCACAGTCCTAAGGAAGACAATATATTCTCCATTTTCTACACAATTGTCACCCCAGCACTGAATCCCCTCATCTACAGCCTGAGGAATAAGGAGGTCACTGGTGCTTTGAGGAGAGTTTTGGGAAAACGCCTGCTGCCAGCACACTCTACATTCTAATTGTTAACTCCAAATCTGATTTTCCAACGAAAATCAGAAATTTTCTACTGCAATTGAAATTCTGGTAAATCTCAGAAAGTAAAATTTTTTGTCCTTTCATAGAAATCAATTTGTAAGTTTCCAAAAAGAAAAACTTAGAAACAGAGCTACCATATGTCCCAGTCATGCTGGGACATGTTCTGAACATCCAGGGCATGTTCGGAACACTGAACCCTGCTACAGAGACACTAGCTCATATACGTTCATTGTTGTTTTGTTCACAATAACTAGGAAATGCAAGCAGTCTAGATTCATCAATGGATAGATAAATAACGAAAATTTGGTACATATACACAAGGAATTTTATTCAGATATAAAGAAAATGAAATAATGAAATTTAGAGGTAAATTGATGGGAACTAGAAACAATTATACTGAGTGAGGTAACCCAGGCTTAGAGAAAAAACACACTGAAATTTCTCTCTTAGCTTCAAATCCTTAGTTTTGCATGTTTAACCAAGATTACTGGGGGAGTAGAAAGGAATCTTGGGAGGTAGGCCTTAAGGGATGGGACTTAGCAGAACATCAGTGATATGAAAGTAGAGGAGGGCACAGTATACACCAAAGATTTAAAGGGCAGGGAGTGTGACGGGGGAGGGAGGACACAAGTAGAGGGGGTTAACCAAAATGACGGCTGTATGAAAAAGCCTCACATGTGGGGTGCAGAGAAGGGAGGGGGTCTAAGTATGATCAAGATATATTGTATGAAATGCACAAAAATCAATAAAACCTACTATCATGCAACCCAATTTAAAAGTACATTTTTTTCAAAAAAGAGCTTGGAGGGAAATAAATAGAAAATTAAAAAGTACAAGAAAGGTACAGTGTAAATGATTTTCTTGTTAATTTAAATATGGTATAGGATCAGGGGGTGTTGTTGGTTTTAAAATTTTGTTGTTTCCTGATTTTTTTAACTGAAAAGAAAATTACATTATAAATGCATTTGTAACACTAAAAGAAGTTCAAGTTGAGTTCACTCAAGTTGAAAATAAAACAGTGGTCCCCGAAGATGGAGGAGAGTTTTGAGTGAGGTGAGGAGCAGGGACATGTGTTTCTTTGTTTATATTAATTAGCACTACTAATTTCTTGATTATGTAAAATATTGATCAATGGATACTGAATTACAGTTATATGACAAAGGTTTCTATGTGCTACTGCACAGTAAGTAGGGTGACTATAGATAATAGTAATGTATAGTGCATTTCAACAACTAGAAGGATTCAGACAGTTTTCATCATAGAGAAATGATAATTATTTGAATGTAAAACGGAATTCAATGCAGCTCACTTTTGTGTGCAACTTTGAACATGGTACTTGACCTCTGTTAGTATAAACTGCCAATAATAAAAGAAACAATTTCATAGCATTTGTTGTGAGGATTAAGTAAGATTAGATAAGCTTAAATAATAGACAGTGGGGTGTCTGGAATATAATGATTATGCCATCAGTCTTAACTGTTACATGATTAAATTGCCCTGAACATTTTAATTATTACTATATTATATCATATGGATATTTTGTAGTATAACTAGCTATTTCATCACTATTAAATATTCAACATTTCATACTGTGTTTATATATTTCTATGACAACAATGAAAAACTCCTGGACATGTGACTATTGAATTCACTTGGGAAAATTATTGCAAACAGAGTTATGTAAATCAAAGTTAAAATCCTGAAGATGTTTTAAAACTTAATTGAATTTTTGCCATTTTCACACAATATAATAGGGTGGTATTTATATCTCTTCCCCAATCTACACCTCCCCTTATTACCTCCTCCCAATTTAATTATATATATATATGTAATTACAATTATAAATTATAAAGCCTACAGAGTCTAATTTGGGTCTCCAAATGTCCTTCAGTGTGCATCCATTCATTGAAGTCTGGTTAATCTACCAAGAGTCTCAAGCTTGAAAGAGACTGCCTCTTCCCCTCCCAGCAGCCACCTGTTACCACATTTTCCTACATTGAGGTTGGAGCTTCTTACCAACTACCTCCATGCCTATGCTGGTATTTTTTCTGGTTTGAGCTTGCATGGGACTTGTGCATGTTATCACTATTGCCATGAATTCATATGAATAATTGACAGCTGTCTGGAATACTCTAGTTCCTTCTGGTCATCCATCATTTCTGGCTCTTACAATCTTTCAGTTCCTTCTTCTGCAATGATCCCAGAATCTTGGGAGCAAAATTTTAAACAGATGTTTCAGCTCTGTGTTGCTCGTTTTTACCCTCTTTGCACACACCCAGCTGGCATGCGTCTGTATAGTATGTGACCACAGCCTCAGCTGCTTAGACTTCTGGGACAACAACTGCCTCAGTGATCACCACTCTAGATAACTATTTCAGACAGGTTTGTGCTCCACCCAGTTTCTTCCTTCTCCTCCCCTTCTCAGTTTCCATTCAGCAACGATTTTAATACTAAAAGCTAGAAATTATTTCTTGAGGTTTCATATCTTTTTATTGCCAACTTTAAGCAAATTAAATGCATTTATTTGTTTGTTGATTATACTAATAGTATATACAAGAAAATTACTGCCCTAGTTCAATAGAAGAAATATACTCTCTGGCATGGTTACCATTATGAAACTGAAATATTCTTTCTGATGATGTTTGCTGAGATTATTAGAAATTGTGACTATCATGTTAGCTCCGTGAGCTGCATTCTTACCTAAATAGAATCCATATTTCTCCTTCAGTGCTGTACCTGTTCGCACCAGCCACTTAGCTCAGTCAGTTTCGGGATTCCTTTAGTGTCTACAGCTTTTTCCGCCATGCACTTTCTTCTCACCTGCTTAGGATACTATTATTTCTTCTTTGAGAACACTTCCCAACAAATATCTGTGCTTTTGTACATATCTGTAAAGTGTGTAATTTTAGTTATTGGAATATTATTAACTTTTATTTTTCATCATATATTCATTGTATGAAATAAGCATCATAATTATATTGTCACATAAATTTATCATTGTTCTTTAATGATATTCATGACCCATTTTCGTCTTTGTCCCTCTATCCCTATTCTTGCTGTTACTCTTCTAATTTTCAAATAATTCCTCTTCTACTTGCAAGTCACAAATATGTAAAATATGGATTATAAACATGAGAGAAAATACGTAATAATTGTCTTTCTCTGTCAGCCATTTTTTTCTTAAGAAGATGACTGTATGTTCCGTGCATTTTCTTGTAAATACATAAATTTGGTCTTCTTCATGTATGAATAGTACTCCAATGTATGAGGTATATATATATATATATATCATACATTCAAGATCAACTTTTATATTGATAGGCATCTAGGCTGGTTTCACATTTTGGCTTTGTCACAGTAAGCATGGGTATGCAGGTATCTCTATGGTACCACTTGGATTCCTTCAGTTACCCAATGAGTGTTGTTGCTGCATGACACGTTAGTATTATCCTTTGTACTTCTTGAGAAAATTTCAAAGTTATTCCTGTGGCGGTTGAATGAACTTACATCCCTCCTCACAGCAAACGGGGTCATTTATCCTGCACAACTTTGTCCATTTTAGGTGTTTTAGATTTTCTTTCTCAGGTGGGAGCTCAGTTTACCTTTGATTTGAATTACTCTGATAGTTAAGGTTGTTGAGCTTTGTTTTTCATATATTTATTAACTATGCATTATTCATCTTTTGAGAAACATTTGATCTAAATTTTCCATTTATTGGTAAGACTGTGATTTTGATGTTTCTTTTCAAGGTTTTTAAAAATATATGTGATGTCCTGACTTACACTTGGCAAAAATTTCTCCCATTGTTTATGATTTTTTTACTGTTAATTGCTTCCTTTGTTGTAAGAAAGCTCACAATAGTGAGCGTCTTATAATTTTGAGAATTCCCATGTGTAAACTCCTATGGCTAGTCCCTAACCTATTAGATTCCCATCTAGAAAGTCCTAGACACAGGAAAGGACTTACGATATCAGTAAATTTGGGTAAACAAAGAATCAGCTTGCATACTCCTTTGTTTTGTTTTCTGTAACAACTACATTTGTATTAATTGCAAAAATTAACTAATTCAGAGAAATATGTCCCCAAGGAGGTATATAAGCTAGTTTTCTATCACAATTATAAAATATTTTGTAAAATTAACTCATTAAAGAAAATGTGTAGTTTAGAAGTTTCATGTCAAAATTGGGCAGATCCAGTGTTTTTTAGGCAAATGGTGAATATATTGGTGCCACCAACAAGGAGTGTGTGGAACAAAACAATTTATAAGGTCTTCTCTCTGACAAATGAATAAACAAACTAGGATAAATTCACACAACTATATACTACTAAGTAATTAATGGGAAAGGAAAACCAACATACTTTGTTTTATTACAGAGATGCAGGGATGATTCAATATATGTAAGTCAATAAGTGTAATAAATCATACAAGTTGACTTAAAGACAAAAATCACATGATCATCTTAATACATGCAGAAAAGGCCTTTGACAAAATCCAACATCTATCTATGCTAAAATTCTTAGAGGGAGTCAAACTGGAGGGAACACAACTCAACATAATGAAAGCTATATACAACAACACACAGCCAACATCATTCTAAATGGAGAAAAACTGGAAGAATTCCTATTAAAATCAGGAACCAGACAAACCTATCTCCATTCCTTTTCTCTTTTTTTTTCATTCCTTTTCTAAATAGTGTTTGTAGCTCTTGCTAGAACAATTGAAAGGAGAAGGAAATTGTAGAAGTTCTAATTGGAAAATAAGAGGTCAAATTATCTGTATTTGTAAAATAATATTGCATATGAGAGATCCCAAAAGTTCTACGATGAAACTGCTAGAAATGATTAATACTTTCAACAAAGTGTCAGATTACAAAATTAACTTTCAAAAATCAGTACCTTTCAATATACCAATAACAAGCAATCAGAGAAATCATTCATGGAAACCCTACCACTCACAATAGCCTTAAAAAATAAATTACTTAGG